ATATTAGCTAATGAAACATGTCGAAATGTTGTTGTTGGGGGTGAATCGTGACTTTTTCCCATTGTTCTTAAGTAAAAAAAAAAAAGAAAAAAACAGTCGGTTTGTTTTTTCAAATGTATTTTATGTACAAATAAGTACATGAATACGAGAACAGCAGAAATAATTGTTAATTTCCATGATACTTACAAAATAGAGAACAAAATATCAGCCTTTTCTCTTTTTTTCGTTATTATTTATTTATTTATTAATTTTAACCTTAGATAGGTCATATACTTGCATTAGTTGTGTGTAAGCAAAAATGAAAAAAACATTAGATCATGATTTTTTGTTTTAGTCATAGAAATCTTTATTTATATTCTTAAGGAATGATCTAATTTATTAATATATTATATTTGATAAAGTAAAACAGTCACTGATGAAGATTAATATAAAAACTTGAACAATATTTATAAAAGATAGATATTACATTAGTTATGTTTCAAATATCAAGTCAATAGATTTCTATTTTAGCAAATTAAAGCTAAGCCTCTCTTTTGGATCACTTTTGGTTTTCTGCGAAAGTATAATCACTCGAGCTCAAATTTTTATCACAGCTAAATTATCGAAAATGATGGAGTCTACGTTCGAGGAAAATTTTTAAAAGCGGGTCTTCAGGAGTTTTTGAAAGGCGCTTCAAAAACCATCACGTCCACTTACAATCCTGATTTTACTTTATCCGATCGAGCTGGAAATTTTTCTAGCAGTACCTAGGACAAAGCCTTTTGAAAAATATCAATCTTTCGATTTTTAATGTTAAAAATACGAGAAGCACCAACTAAAAACTATTTTTCCAGCTGGTGTTTCTAGTATTTTTTTAAATTGAAAATTGCGAGATTAATACTCTTCAAAAGACTTTGTTTAAGGTATCTCCAAAAAATTTCCAGTCAGATCCGACAAGATAAGACAAGGGTCGTAAGTAGGCGCGATAGTTTTTGAAGACCCCTTCAAAAACTTCGGAAGACCTGCTTTTAAAATTTCTTCCTCGAACATGAGTCCCATTATTTTCGAAAATATTTGAACCCAATCGGTTGTACTCTTGGGAAGAACGAGAAATGGTCCAAAAGAAGGAGAATATGCTGAATATATTTTATTTAAATTTCTTTGTAACAACAATCGTATTCATTCTTAATTACAAAAAAATTGTTGAAAAATTTGTCAAAAACAAAAATTTATTATTAATCTTTCTAAATCATCGAATATTGATTCTAAACATCTGATTATTTTCTCATCAATATATATATACGTATATTGTTAAAATTAAAATAAACCTACATATTCACAGTTGTTTTTTTATAATATGCATAGTTTTCAATTATTTTTATTTCTAATTATTATTACTACAGAATGTTATATTGTAGTAAATTCAACACCACAAACAACAATTCTTTTTATTCCACTTGATGAACGTTTTACAACAAGATCGATTGTATTAAATTTAGCTCGTCTTATTCAAGATGATTTTATATTATTAACACCACCCATAGAATTAATAAGTCATTGGAAACAACCAGCAAATACAAGCATACTTTTTCAATGGATACATGATCAAATAATAAATTCATGCACAATGTCTACATCATGTTCATTATTAATATCAACTGAACAACTTATTTATGGTGGTCTTATTAATAGTCGAATAAGTAATACTTCATTAGATGAATTAAATTCAAGACTTAATAAATTAGTTGAATTTAAACGTGAATTTGGTTCAAAACTTCAAATTTATCTTAGTTCTGTTATAATGCGTATACCAGCATATAATGAAGATTTTGAAGAACCTGAGTATTGGGCTATATATGGTCGTCTTATTTATTTATGGTCGTTTTATACAGATCGATATGCTGTACTTCATAATCCAGCTGATGAAGAGCAAGTTCATATTTTAGAAAAACAAATACCATCGAATATTCTCGATGAATTTATACGGCGACGTGCAAGAAATTATAATTTAACTTATACACTTCTACATGATTATACTAAAGTTTATTTTGAACGTATTTGGTTAACACTTGATGATAATGCTGAATATGGATTAAATAAAGCTGAAGAAAGACAATTAATTAAATTAATTAATGATCCTTCATTAAATATAAGTTCAAAAGTAAATATTTATCCTGGTGCTGATGAAGTTAATTTAGCAATACTTAGTCAAATTGTTGTCAATAATAAACAACAACAACAATCATCAATACCAACAATTACTGTACTTTATAGAAATATAACAACAAAAAATTATATACCAAATTATGAAGGAGCACCACTTAATGAAAGTATACTTAAACAAATAATAGCTGTCGGTGGACATTATATTGAATATAATAATGAAACATCTACTGATATTCTTGTTCTTGTTAATAATTGGTCAACAGATAAACAACAAGAAGCAACTCAATTACAAACTTGTGAAGATTATTCTACATTAGATATTCAAACAAATAAATCTATTATTGTTTATGCTGATGTACGTTATAGTAATGGTGGTGATATTTGTTTTTCACAATGGATATTAAATCGTACACTATTTGGTACATATACTTATGCTGGATGGAATACTAATGGAAATACATTAGGTACATGTTTAAGTAATGGTGTTTTACTTAAGGGGGGCCCCCCCCTCAGAAACCAACTTTTAGGGCCCCCCCCCTCAGAAACGAATTCTGTTATTTTTCATCCGATTTCAACCAAAATTTCAGAGAATGTTAGTCTAGGATAGGGGAGATTATGGTTAAAATATCTCTCCAAATCTCCAATAAACTAATGAGTTATAGTCAATTTATTGGTCAAAAGTACCTTGTACGCGGGCAAGGATTTCACAATAAGGACACGAGCTAACAAGCCCGGGTGGTTTTCAAGTTATAGAGTGCCCTTAGGGCTAGATCCTCACAAGGCCCGATTTTTGAATTTCACTTTTTGTGAAATAAAAAAATTAGATATTTATTTTTTAGTAGCAATTTTTTGGGCATGAATTCGTGAATTTTACGAAAAAGGGTTTTTCAAAAACAAACAAAGGGAAACTCAAAAATCGGGCTTTGTGAGGATCTAGCCCTAAGGGCACTCTATAACTTGAAAACCACCCGGGCTTGTTAGCTCGTGTCCTTATTGTGAAATCCTTGCCCGCGTACAAGGTACTTTTGACCAATAAATTGACTATAACTCATTGGTTTATTGGAGATTTGGAGAGATATTTTAACCATAATCTCCCCTATCCTAGACTAACATTCTCTGAAATTTTGGTTGAAATCGGATGAAAAATAACAGAATTCGTTTCTGAGGGGGGGGGGGGGGCCCCCCTTAAATATTATTTAAATTCAAATTTTAATCAACAATTAACAAATAGAATATTAAAAGAAAACCGTCGATTTACATTATATCGTTTTATTGAAGATGTTCAATATCAAGCTTTTCTACGTCAACATCTTTTAGAATATATTACTGATATATCACTCGATCCACTAGATAAACTTAATAATGATCCTATATTTTATGAAACATATATTCAAAAAGGTTTTATATCATATGGAAATAAAATAACAAATGAATTTAATGTTACTAATGTTTATTATCCATGGAATCGAACATTTGAAATTGGTTTTCAATTAATAGATAATAAATAATTTTAGAAATTTTCTTTAAAATATGATAATATTTTAATAAAAATTATTATTATGATTCTTTTATTCGAAAAGAAAAAAAGAACTACTTATACAAAATTAGTTATCCTATATTGAAATAAAATAAAATCGATTATTTGTTGTTTTTACCTTTCCCATCTTGCAGGTGTAGTTCCTCGTCTTGCGCTTGTCATTGTTGTTCACAGTTTTTTTGTAAATTATAAAAATGAATCAACATGAACATGTTGTTCTTGATAATGATAATAATAGTTATCTTCTATCTTATTCTCTTTTTATGGTTAATTTTACTTGGTTTTCTTTTTCTTACTTCCTCTTTATCTTGAACTAATTTTCATGGCGAAAAAGTATACAATACAATGAAGTGAAACGTAAAGCAATTTCTTTTTCTCTATAATTTTTTCCTAACAAAAATAGCATCTCTTACGCACACATCAACATCGTTAAAAGTTTTTAAAAACTCAAATTATTATTTCAACTATCCCTACACGTATGATTTTTAGTATGACTTGTTTTCTTTCCATATAGTTCTATATTCATTATTCATTATTAATATTATTATTACTATTAACAAAAAGGGAAAGTGACAGAAAACGTTAGCTTCTTTCATATATGCAAAAATTCTGTTTATCAATCTCTATATACTTAATAGTTGATAAAAAAAAAAAACTTGGGTGTGGTCTATATAAAATTATCAATATTCAAATATAATTGCCGGTTAGGTTTTTTTTGATAAAACTACGTATATATCAGATAGAAAAAAAACTTCTACTTTTTTTTTTCTTTTATTACTTACCTATTAGCAGATGTTTGAAATTGATGCGTCATATTAAAGAATCCTATATAAAAGAAAAGTTTAATAATTCAGATTATTTGTTTTTAATTTTAATATGATTGAAATTATTTTTAGCAAAATAATACACTTTATAATTTTAGTACGAAAGAAAAAATATGAAATTATTTGTAATTTCTGTTTTTGAAAAGATTTTTATGATTATAATTAACATGTGGAAATGATAATCACCGGAATTAAAAATGAAATAAATCAATAGATAAAGGAAATTTTAAGTATTAATTATTTTTTCCTTAAATGTTTATCTTGTAATTTAAATATAAGAAGATAGCATTTTTATGAAGAACAGGAAAACTTAAATAAGTAGATGCGCATCAAATTCACTAGAGATAGTTACCTGATAGTAGTTGACACGTTCTCTACTGGAATAAAATTATGATAATTTAACTTAACGATAAAAACGGTGAGTTTCCGTCATCAACACACATCTTTTTTTTCGGTATCGTGCAGTTTCCTTTCTTCTATCCGTTTTCATCTTTAATCCTCGCTTCTTCTTTTTTTTCTTCGCCTTTTTCTTTAGTTTCTGTGTCTTCTCGGATGCTAATGATAATGACGATAATTTTCAGCTTCATTCTCTTTTTTGTCTCTGCTAGTTGAAGACTAGGAGAACTCTTGCTTAAAGTAAGAGTGTTATACGCATCATGAAATTTGTTTTGTCGGTTTTTCTTTTCTCGTTTTATTTTTGTTCCTGTAAATCATTCATGGAAAAAAAAGATGTTAGAAACAGATTCCATTCGGTGAATTTATTTTTATTATATTCTAACTTTTATTGATGTGCGTCAATCAACTAATGCATTAGTAACATGTTTTTTTTTTTTGTTCTTTGGCTTGTTTTTTTGCATTCTATACGAAAAGAAAAGTGTTGAATCTTTTTCCTACTAAAACAAAGAAAAATGTTTTTATTTATATTGAAAACAAATCACATAGACACCAAAGAGAAAATATAAATGATTTTATTTTTTATTTTTTTTTGCTCTTTAATATTAATTATTTTATTTTTCTTTTTGTTCATCTTGAATTAAGATTTTTTTGACAAGTTCATCAAGTGTAAATAAATGTTCATCATCTATTGTAGTTATTGCACGTATAGCTTCAACTAATTTAAATAAATATTCACGATTAGAACCACTTGGTCCATGTGCTCGAGCTATTTGTTCAGCTATTTGATCTAATGGTGCATCACCACCCCAAAATGGATTATTTGATTGAGCCATATATGTATAACAAACGAATTCTTTTTGTTCATGATTATTTGGATAGAAAATTGTTTCAATAATTGTATAACCATCTTTTTCACGTACATCAAGTACATGACGGACACTTACTTCGTCTTCATTGGATATTTCATAAGCAGCACCATAAACACAATCCTTGATGAATGCAAAAAAAAACAAAACAAATAAACTTCATCATTGGATTTTATAATACAAATGGAAATTTTCTTAATATCCTACAGGGCATTAGAACATATAAAACTATGATTAGTTTAAATTAGATGATGTCTTATTAGACATACTTTTTTCTATTTAATTATTTGTTTCTATTTATATTTCCTATAGTATTCGCTTGAAACTAGTAGTTTCTTATTTCTATAAGATTATATTCTTATTATATAATAGAATATCTAAGTAGTAGAGAAATATGATTTTCATACTGATCAAAACCATGCAAAGAAGTGTGATTCATTTCTCACATCATCGATATTTTGTTTGAGAACAATCTGGGAATCAAATATTTCAAAGAATTATATGTTGTAGACAATGTTGAAACGTAATATCTTACGTGAGAGAGTGATTGTGAAAGATTTCTTATTAGATTCAAATCTATTTTCTTTTTTATATAAAACAAATATCAAAAAAAAAACAAAGACTGCTGTGTAAATCTTTCCAGGTGCCTCTTTATTATTTCAATATTTTTTTTTGCCTATAGCTCGTGTCGCAATGTTCTTACAAACTATTTCAGGACATGTTCTCTTTTTCTAACGAGTTATTCCGCTTAGACCTTAATATAGATGCTACAATCCGTACTATATATAATACATAGCATTCTAGTAAAGATTCTTTGAAGGATTTCGCTCGTTATTCTGGCTTGACAGATCTGTTGAACTTTTATTATATAATAGACGATAGAAAAATAATTAGACAAAAAGGTTCATTCATTTTTCAATCTTTTAAAGAAGCCTATAGGAATTTGAAAACATTGGATTAGAGTCAAAATTTTATATTATTTAGGTTCACAATTTTTCCAGGAGATATAAGCCAAATTGTTACAGTCGCGAAAATCCAGTTTGAACGGAGACAATTAAATTTTTTTACAGTAATAGTTTCCTTTACTACATACTTTATATTACCAACTTTTTAGCATAGAATGAAAGACGATATTGTTCTCTACAAAGTGATAAATGAATCAAAAGTTTCAGAGATAACTAAGCTCACTTTACAAGTCTATTCCCACAGAAATCGAGAAAATTGCCTAAATTGACACAGTGTTCCTTGCGCTGGAATACTCACTGTTGACAAATGACTTGCAGTAAACTAATCATTCGTATATTATTTTATAGAGAAATGCTAGCTCTTTCATTCTCTCTATATTTGAAATAATGTTTGCTTCTACTTTGAGAAATTTTTGATGCATTGAAGTTCGGCAAAACTTGATTTACAAGTCTCTAAAAGTTTGACTCATAAATTCTAAACTAAAAATCCTAGTAAAAATTCTAAATCCATATTTGAAAAGAACACAAAATTCTCATTCTAATCAATTGCTTTTAAATTTCTGTAGGCTTTGTTAAGGGATTGAAAAGTGAATGAACCTTTTTTGTCTAATTATTTTTCGATCACTCATTATCTATTTTACATAGTCCTTCTGTAAGGCTTCAATTTTCGAAAAAATCGTACTTATGAATACGATCCTGAAGTAACCTCTTTTTTAAGATCTCTTATACATTGGTCTAAACAATGAGTTTCAGAAATTTTTAAAAAAAAAGGTCATATTTTCAACATAGAATCTCTTTGTTTAGACTAGTGCATGAGAGACCGTTAAATGGAAGTCATTAAGGATTTTTCCGAAAATTTGAGTCGTAGATAGAGTCTCTATAAAATAGATTGTATAATGAAGATTCAATAGATCCGCCGAGATCTTAATAAGAATCAAAATCCTCTAAGGCTTTTTATTATAACATTATATAGCATCTTTAGATAAAAAAAAAACTTATTGAAATCGAAAAAGGACAACTGAAGAGCTTGCTTCATGAGCACATCTAATTAACGTTCAGAAACTTTAATTAAAATGGCTACTACAACGATAAACAAGAAAAAAGAAATTTTTTGATATTTAATGAATGCTTACAATTTATTTCTATATGAATATTTTTCTCTTAGCAATTATCCTAAAGACTAAAGAAAGTCATGTTTTTTCAATGATCCCTCAAGATAAGTTCATCAAAAACAATGTAATTGACCTATAATTGCTCAACGATATTCAAGAAAATGAACATTCTTTGTTGAATCCATATACATTAGGAAAATTTTAAATTTTTCTAGCATAATTTTCTACAGAAAAAAAATTAGAATATCTTTTATGTCCAACAGAATCGATGAAAGATCAGACCGAAATAAAAATGCACACTTAAATAAACATTGCGCGCATCGCTTAAGTAAATTATCTCGTGTCATCATGAAACACTTTTATAAATCACTTGATAATCATATTTTAGGTTTCAATCACAAATTTCAAGACAAGTTTTTTCGAAAGATAATCGTTGAATGATGATATATGCAAGCAATGATGCTTATTCAACGAAGAAATGTCGTTGTCAGACAGCAAAAATAAAATGTGATACGAAATGGCCTTGATCAAAAATGAAATCATCTGCAAATGTCTAGTTTAATCTTTCTATTTTTTTTTTTGGAAATATTAAACTAATGAAGGTTAAACTATTCGTTCACAGATACTTGAAATCTATCTTTAAGAAAACCTGAAATTTCAAGTTGTTCAAGGAAAATTTTTGAATTTTCCTAAATTCTAATTTTTCCTGTGACATACAGTTTCTCGCAAAACTATTCGATTGAGCTTATTTTCAATTTTTTTCATTTCCGCCAACGTTAGTAAGAATACAAATAGTTATTGAAAACTGAAATGCAAAATTTTTCATCACTTGGAATTTGCAAGTAGAATTCTCTTTAAATTACTTAGAGTGATAGAGCAAATCATTTTCTACAAAATGAAATGTCTTTCAATTCTCTACGACGGGTTTTCATTGAGACACATCAAGTGTGCCGAAAACACAAAAATGATGTTTCTATAAGAAATAGTTGAAAAAAAACGACTTTCATGGCTTTCCTAAGATTGATGTTTCTCGATGAAAAAAATGTCGTAGAGAGCTGAAAAATGTTTCATTTTGTAGAAAATTATTTGCTCTATCATTCTAAGTAATTCAAATAGAATTGTGTTTGCAAATTCTAAGTGATGAAAAACTTCGGTTTCAATTTTTCAGAGACCCTGGCCTTGGAAAACTAGCAATCATTTTTATCTTTAAAAATTCTCCACATAAATCAGTATTTGAATTTTTATCAGTGTTGACAGCAGTGAAAAAAATCGAAAATAAACTTAATCGAATAGTTTTTGGGAACATTGTATATATCAGAGGTCTCAATCGACTGGGTCGAGCTCAACTCAGCCCATGAGCCGAAATCTTTTTATTAGAAAATCATAGGTTGGACCGACTTTTTTTCGGCCCAGTCTAGCCTATTGAGACCTCTGCTAACGATAATAAATTTCTTTGGTATAACAACCCAAACGATCTCTTGGGAAAAATTGCAATTAGATAAGTGGCTCATGAACACCCATAGATGGATCATTTTTTAGGAAAAAACCATGGGCTGTAGCTCATCAAAAGGTCGATGACATGGGCTAGCTTTCTTTGGCCTAGTCCAGCTCATTGAAATCTCTGGTGTATTAATAATCGAACTATACCTCTTATGTGACTTAATTTTTTGAAAACCATAGCCTTGGAAACTTACAGATGGATTTCCAGTTGAAATCAAAGTAGCTACTCTTCCTGGCTAAATAGAATAAATATAAATTATATTTTGATTTTCAATCATTTGCGATCATTACTTTTCCTGGTATACCACGATGATCTTCTGATAATTGCCAAAAACGTCGAATAAAACCTTTAATATGACCTTCTATTCGATTAATATATCGAAAATCTGGTCTCCATACAAGCGAACCATATCCAAATATCCACATGAAGAATTGAATGAAAACAACACTATTTTTTCTTTCTCTATTTTCTAAAGTTTAATTTTAAAAAGGTACAGAACAAAAACAACAAACAATGATTTTATTATATAAAATGCTTGTTTATAAAATACAAGATAAAGTTACTTACTCGAACAAATACTTATAAAATAAAAAGGCGGAAACAAAGGAAAATAAAAAATATCAATTATTGATCTTAATGTTGTTTTTTTCTGTTTATTACACAACTAATAGCTAAAATAAATAAATTTTTAATGTTTTTTTTTTAATAATCGTGTCGTCGAATATGTGGTTGTGTTGATTCGAGTTTTTCTCCTTCATCTTTCGTTCCTGGCCGACCTTCTTCTGGTGCAGGTAATTTTTTATCTGATGGTGTAACACCCCAAATTTCTGTAGCATATTGAGCGATTGTTCGATCAGATGAAAATTTACCTGATGCAGCTATATTTAATACAGCTTTTTTCGTCCATTCAATTGGATTCTAAAAATTAAAAACCAAAAACAACAAAATAAAATAGATCAAAGTTTATATTTTTAATTTACTTTAAATAATTGTTCAGCGCGTTCATGTGCTTTAATATATTCAGCATAATCAGCAAGTAACATATAACTATAAAAAAATAAATAAATAAATCTTTGATTTTTTTGTTTATATAAAATTAATTTTCAAACGTACTAATCATTATAATCAAGTAAACTTTTAATAATATCAACAAATAGATTTGGATCTTCTGGTGAAAAATATCCATCACGTATCTGATCTAATACTCGTTTTAATTCTGGTTCACGTTCATAAAATTCTTTTGAGTTATATCTACACGTAAGAAAAAAAAATTTTTGTCAAAAATAAGAAAATTAATTAATATTTTTTTTTTTAATATTACCCTTTTCCTTTTAATGCATCAACATCTTCTACTGTCATACCAAATATAAATATATTATCACGTCCAACTTCTTCATCCATTTCAACATTTGCACCATCCAATGTACCAATTGTTAATGCACCATTAAGCATCATTTTCATATTACCTGTACCTGATGCTTCCAAACCAGCCAAAGATATTTGTTCAGATAAATCAACAGCAGGAATGATTTTTTCAGCTTAAATATGATAATAATTATATATATATATATACATTTATGAAATAATTCAAAGCATATAAAAAGAAATATGTTATACATACCAAGACTAACACGATAATTTTCAAGAAAAATAACTTTAAGTCGACCACCAATTTTTGGATCATTGTTAATTGTACGTCCAACATTACAAATTAATTTGATAACTAAAATCATATAAAAATAAAAAGCATAAGATCTATCTTTCTTTCTTTTTTTATCAACATTAACGCACTTAATTTAGCTTGTTGATAACCAGGTGCAGCCTTAAAAAAAAGAAATAGAGTTAATTTTATGATAGAAAAATAAAAATATTTCGTTTTTTTTAACCTTTCCACCAAAAATAACTGTACGTGGAACAATTTCTGTATTTGGATTATCTTTAATACGATTATAAAGTGTAATTATATGAAGACAATTTAATAATTGTCGTTTATATTCATGTATACGTTTTATTTGTACATCAAACATTGAATTTGGATTAACATCAACGCCATAGTCATTTTTAAACATAGAAACTAAACGTTGTTTATTTTCCTAATGAAAAAGAAAAAATGTATTTTTTTTAATTTTTCAATATGAGTTCTAAATATAAACATACAAATTTAACACGTTGAACATCTCGAATAAATTGTTCATCAGTAATAAAATTACGTAATTGTGATAGTTGAGATAAATCTGTTATCCATTTTTCACCAATTTTATTTGCAATTATCTCTGATAAATCAGGATTACATAAAAGTATCCAACGACGTGGTGTTATACCATTAGTTTTATTTTGAAATTTTTCAGGATTAAGTTGATAAAAATCTTTAAATCTATATTCAATGAAAAAATAAACAATAACAAATCTTGCTTATTCAGAAAGCAAATGAAACAAGATAATTTACAATGTAGATTTCAGTAAATCACTATGTAATTGAGCAACACCATTAACAGCATGTGAACCAACAATGGATAAATAACCCATGTTAACAACCTGGAATGAACAAGAAAGTAGGATTTCTTGGTAGAATTGTAAAAATTATGAACACTAAACATAAAGCAAGATCCGATTAGTGACGAATTCAGGAGTAGTAGCTGCCTTCCCCTTTGTGATTTATATATGCTATACCATAGGTATTTTTGTATTTCTATGAAATTTACAGAGACAAATAGTGTGCATTTCTCACTATTTATAACTTTATAGCGCTTGTATTCAGGTATGAACAATTCTAGAGAAGGACAACAACTTGTATTCTCTATATAGTGTTATTACTTGTGTTAAATATTCTTTCTCTTGTTAGATATGACTTCTATTCGTGTCGCACAGCTAATGAGTGTTTATAGAGTTTAATATTGAACGATTCATTTGTACTTGTTGTATCAATGATTTTAAGAAGTATGGGATTCAGTAAAAAAGATCAACGTAATTCTAGTTTCGAATTATGTTTGATGCAAGTGTCTTCTTCGCAAATATCAAAATTCCTTTTCAAATTTATGCAATGTTACCAGGAGAATTTATATTTTGCACTATTTGAAAGAAAATCAACGTAAGGAGAACTCATCTTTCCTCCCTTACAAATAGCTGGCATCCACTAATGGTACAACAGCTTGAATCTCCTTTAAATACGATGATCAGCAAGATCTTCACTTCCTACACTCAAAGTGTTGAACACCCCTACAACTTTTTCTGGCTATGTCAACTAGAGTCCTGCGGTTCCAAAAAAACTAGAACCGAGTTTTTTCAGCTTGTGTTACCCGAAACCGGAACCGGAATCGTTGGAACCGAAAACTCTTTTAATAGTAACCAAGAAACCATTTAAATGAAGGGTAATCTTAAGTCGAAACAGTTTATGATGGCTATAGTGGTACACTCTATGTACTTCTTACACTGGCATATAAAAGAGAGGTCCAAAATGGGGAAAAAATTGTTGAAGTTAATACAACTGAAACAAAAAGAAAGATAGTTGCGCAGCAATCTTCTACAATCACATATTGAAACCAAGAACAATCCATTACTACAATAACAACAAAGAAGTTTAAAATGAGTGACAAAGGTATTGTTCTTGGTGATAATAATTATGAGGAAGATAAAGAAAATGATGAAATAGATTTTCTTTAGAATTTGTAATATAAATAATTTCATATAAACATAGTATATTAACATGTTTTTTCTTATTCTTTCATCTTTTCTTTTACTTTTTGAAGAAGTTTCTTTTTTGATGAAATAATAAATATGAACAAGCTCAAAAAAACACGTATAGGAATTTCTAAAAAAATCTATTACTCAGTATTTTGTATACTATCGCAAAACCACCAGTTCCTAGAACAAATTTTAGGAACTAAAAATGGAACCGCTTGTTTTCCGTTTTTGCCGACGGAAACCGTCGGTTCCGGCTCCAGGTAATTTTTGGAACCGCAGGAATTTAATGTCAACACTGATAACCTTTACATCTAATCATGTGACAGTTATGTATAAACGACGGACACTTTTCTTTTTGGCTTTTCAATATGACACATCATCCGATAGTTTAATATTTAAAAATTTACGTAATTATTTATGAAACAGTTCTATTTTAAGAATTTTTCGATTTGAACTATCTTCTTACTTCATCTTGAATAATTGACATACGTTCACAATATTGATCATCGCCAGGCCATTTTTGTTTTACAAGCTTTACAAACATCATCAAAAAAATATTTTCTTTTTTTTTGCTTTTCTAATTTTTTCTTACATCTAAATGACGTGAATTAATTTCTTTAATAATTTGTAAATGACGTGGTAAAAGTGCTTCAAACATAGTAATTGGCCAACGTTCAAGTGCTTCAGGTAATAATGTATGATTTGTATAAGCAATAGTTTTTTTTGTTATATCAAATGCTTGATCCCAATCAAAATTTTCTTCATCAATTAATAAACGCATTAATTCAGCAACGGATAATGCCGGATGTGTATCATTTAACTGAATAGCTGCTTTGTCTGGAAAATGTGTAAAATCAGGTTGTTTACCTGTTTTTGTATAAGTTTTAGAGATTTTAAAACGTCGTATTATATCTTGTAATGATGCTGATACTAAGAAATATTCTTGTTTTAAACGAAGAATTTTTCCTTCATCAAACTAGAAAAAAAAAACAAAAATTTTTAAATAAAAAAAAATTATCTTAATTTATAAATATATACATTATCATTTGGATATAATACTCGAGTAATATTTTCTGTTAAACTCTAAAATAAAAAAATAAAAATGATTTTTAATGTTATTCCTTCTTTTTTTTTGTTTGTTACTTGTTCAGAAACAGCACGTATATAATCACCAGCATTAAATAATTGAAAATTAAATTTTCCTGGTGCTTTAGCTGACCATAATCGTAGTGTATTTACAACATTATTATTATAACCAGGAATCTAAATACATTTACAAAAAAAAAAAAATAATAATAAATGAATTCTATTTCATATCTTTTGTTTTTTTTTGAATTTTATTATTCTTACCGGTGTATCAAATGGCATAGCTTGAATAATTTCTGTTTCAATCCATTTCATTTTCCCATTTTCTTCAATAACTTTACCATAGAATTGTACAGGTACAAGAAATTCTGGTCGAGATATTTCCCATGGATTACCATATCGTAACCAATCATCAGGATATTCATTTTGATAACCATCTTCAATTTTTTGTGTAAAAATTCCTTAAAAAGAAAAAGCAGACATTATGTTATAATTAACTTAGAAAATATTCATTAAATTTATACCATAATCATATCGAAGACCATATCCATATGATGCAAGTCCTAATGTAGCCATACTATCAAGAAAGCATGCAGCTAATCGACCTAAAAACAAAAGATGAAATCATATTTACAGTTCTGAACAAAAGTTGTCGAGCTCCTATGAAGTACTACTATTCTTTATGCTGTTGATCTGGTATTTTGGATGCATACGAGCGACAAGAAACCTTGATCGCAAGGATTAATCCACCTTTCATTGGTTCAGATATCATTTTTCTCTTATGATCATCGTATTTTAGCCATGTTAGTACAAATATTTTTGATCAGCGCTTGATTCAAAAGGTCAGTGTCGTCACTATATCTAGTTCGAATTTCGTTAGAAATCATATCTCAGAGCGTGCTAATTACTAAGATCTTGATTATGTGTCACAGATTTTGTTGATAATAAAGTGGACATAGGGGATTACCTTTAGTACTAGAACAAAAACAAGCAGTAGTAGTTTTTGGAATAATAAAATGACAAACAAATACTTTTTGACTACATTTTTTCACTGAATATGTTTTTCACATAGGAAAGAACATGTGTGAAATATAATTCGAATACATGTGAACCTATGGAGGCCGGAGTTTATGCTTGCGATCAGGATTTATTGTCACACGCATGCATCCAAAATATCAGTTCAATATCATTAAAAAAAATAGTAGCACTTTATGGAATGGTAGCTATTTTTGTTTAGAATAGTCTTTTATATTAACATACCAAGGCCACCATTACCAAGTGCTGCATCCATTTCAAATTCTTCTAATTCTTCAATATTTAAACCTAATTCATAAAGAGCTTCATCAACATCATTTTCAATGCCTAAATTAACCATAGTATTTGCTAATGTTCGTCCCATAAAAAATTCCATGGAAAGATAATAAACACGCTAGAAAAAAATGAAATATATAAATATTTACATTTAAATAAAAGAAAAAGTTACAAACTTTTCCATCAGTTTCATAATGATGTTGGTGTGTACGAATCCATCGACCAACGAGATGATCACGAACTAAAATAAACTATGAAATTTTAAAAACAAATCAAATTTTTCTTTTTCCACACCAACCAGTATAAGCTAATGATTGATAATAATCACGTTCAGTAGCTACATCACGATCTTTAACAACAGCAAAATGTAAATGACGATTGAAAGTTTTCTTTACACCTTGAACATTTTCTAACTAGACAAATATAAAAATTATATCTTGAATATGTTTTTGCTTTTTTTTTTTATATTCATTAAGAAATTTTACCAATGGAATACCACGAATACTAATTTGTTTAATAGCTTTGAGTTTAGCTGTTGGTGCAGGTTTTTTTGATGATTTTGATTGTTGATTTGTCTTTTTATTGTTATCACTATTAGTAAGATCATGAATACCGTCAGTCACCGTTTGTTGAACTGTTTTTAATGCAGATTTCTATGAAAAATAATTAAAAAATAAATAAATAAATAATTTCTTTTTATGAGTCATAAATAGTTTAAAATTTCCCCAATTAGAGATTAGAATTAGAGATGGAGACTCACCACTTGATCCATAGTATATCGATTTCAATATAAGATGATAAGGTTTTTTCAAACAATATTCTCTATAATATGTATATTGTACTTTGTAAGAGTGCGAAACAAAATGAAATAAGCAACTCTTTGACTTCTTCCTATTTTTTTTCTCTTTCTCCGTGTCGCTGGAACTGACGTTCGTCGTTATTTTTTAGTCTGTAAAGTATGAATTAACCGAAGACAAAGCAGACGATGCACATTGTATTCAAGAAGGAAAGACAAAAAGCTATTCAAGAAAAAGAAAGAATACGACTCAAAAATCTCTAAAATAATGGTGGATGGCGTGCAGAATGGTAAAATGAATCAGTTTTTTTGATTAATGGCTTCGTTATGGTAACATATGTTTGTGGTAAACGTTGCGCAACACGTGCATACGTCATGATAGGTAGTTTGCACTTTATAACCCCATTTTGGCTATTATGATATATTTCTACTCGATTGTGAACATTAATAAGAAGCTACGGTCATTGAGTACATATTCGTTGTTACATTATATAGAGTGATAATTTAGGCAAGAAAAAAACATTGAAATAGTTATATTAACTATTAACAATGATAAGTAAAAAAAACTGTACGTGAAATTTATTTTTATAGATTTAATAAGTATTTGATGAGGATTATTTTTAGTCTCAAGAAATGATATGTTGTAGACGTTCTTGATTAAACAATTACAAATAATACATAATGTATTTACAAATAAGATTTTGTTTTTTCAAGATGATAGTTAAAATTGATGAATTATTACAGTTTATTGTTTTTGTCGAGTAGAAGGTAGATAGAAAAGTATTTTCTTTTTAGCAATTTATAATTGATAAATCGAACTTTTGCTGAAAAATTTCAAATATTAAACATAGAGAATATTATTATTTATAAACAGTATAAATACTTTATAAATACTTATTTATATTAAGCTTAAACTGCAAATATTGATATTTTATTAATTATATTATTTATTGAAACATAGATATTTTAAGAATATGATAGAATATTATAACTGAAAAAGTAATATCAAATTAATTTAAACAGTTACTAGATTATCAACTCTCTTTGTTTACAAGTTAATAATTATTCAAATAAAAATTTATCATTACAATTTTCAAAACACAATAAATGATGTATTCGTATTTAATTATCTGTTATAAAACACAATATTTCTCTATTGTTTATATGAACATTATAGTAATTTTAAATTTAAGAAATATGATCTAGAATTATACAACTTTTTTATAATCTGCAATACTTCAGTAGTATCTATCATCCAAAAATTGAAAATTTAGTAGCTTTTAAAGTAGAATTTAAAGCATTCTACTATGAACATGGCTTAAAACACTGTGAATTGATCTTTCTTGAATTTCCAACTTCAGAACGATGGAAATATCTCTAAAACAATGGCTTTTGTATGGTGTTAAAACAATTGATCTAGCATACAAGAGACTGAACAACAAACAATGTTTATCTGAATTTCACCTAGCGAAATTGTATTCTATTCCAAAATAACATCGTTTAATAGATAATTTCGTAGACTTCTTTTTTTCATATAATATATATATTCTAACAAGTTCTCTTTCGGAGTAGAATTCAATTATTTGACTATAATCATTAGTTACGAAAAATCAGTGATACCAGAAAATGTTATAATAGCACTCATATTGGTCATGCTAAAACGCGTAGAATATTTCTTTTTTTTTTGTACAGCAAAAATCTTCTATCGTAACTTTATGAAACTTAGAAAACAAAAATAAAAACTTATCAATGCAACTCTTTTCGGGTTAAAATATAGAACTCACATGTCTTCTTTCGCTTCATTATGCTAATTAATACAAAATATGTCAAATGAAAAATTTCTTACAGACAATAACTGCCCTTCAAGGATAATCGAAACGCTCTGGTTTATTTATTTCTGTGTTTCAAACAAAATTTCATGTTCTTTTTCTTTTTACAATAGGTCTTAACGTACTATTATTTATTTCGATAAACTTCGAAACACTAATATTGATTATTTCTGAAACTTAGAACTTGATCATTTTATGCTTATTGTTTTCGTCAAATGATGACTGTGACAAAACGATACATCACTAGCCATTATACTTGCTATCTATCATATAACTGTTTTTCTGCTCGACAATCAGAAATTGAACTATTTAGAACATGCGAAAATGTATTACAGCAATTTATATTTCAACGGACGCTTTAGAATATTGTTTTGATATTAAGGAGTCATGAGAAAATAGTCTGGTGTCTATTTTCTTTGATTTCCAGGGAAAAATCTTACTCAATGACTTTTGATCCCGGTAGCTAATATGTGTAACGGAGAGAGATTTTTTGTGAATTTCACAAAAAGAAAACTTTTCTTATCGAATGAAGTTTTTTTTTTCGAAATTTCTAAAAGTCGCGAAAGACTTTCCTAATACATTTTATTCTAAGATTTTTGTAGCTTTGTGAAACACTTCCCATCAGATTCTGCGATATATTTTTGTACTAGACATTTTGCCCTTTCTAACAAGAAAAGAATAGATCAAGTCTATATGATATGGCATTTCAACGTTATATTAATAACAAAATTAATACAGAATGCTTACCCTATTCGTTATCACATAAGAATAACTTCATGTAGTATGGTGATAAACTAGTAATATATACTGTGTTATGGACATTCAACTCTTTTTCATACTATCAGAAAATCAAAAGAAATTCATTTTTTTCATCAATCGTCAATAAACTGAATAGAATTGTATCTATCACACGCGTAAGTAAACAGATTAGTAAATGTGATTTCTTATAATATCGGGTATTTCAGGAAAAAATGGACATCTGTGTGTATCAATAATACTTTTTTTAATATTCACTGATTTAGACTCTTTTTTTCAAAAAATTCGTCTTTTAATTCTCTACAAAATACTATATTATTTATTAATTTAAATAACTTCAATTATTCTGCAAGACACGTCTCAAACGAGCAGTCAAAGATAAAAAATTTTCTAAAAGAAGTTTTTTTGTCGAATTTTTCGACTACATATTTCAATTGTTTCTTAAGAGTATTTTTCAATGTTATCTTTTTTCAATTGATAGAAGTAATAAATTCCTCCAACATTGAATAGTCCATGGTTGAAATCTGGACCGTTCGATGATTAATATTTCTTGTCGATGATAAATGGAAAGTTGTCCTGACATTATTATTGTGTTAATTGATGGATATGGGGTTGCCCATCGCTCTGTTGAAATATCCAGTCTTTTTTGAAAATCTTATTTTCATATTTTAGTGTTACTGAAAAAATATTCTGGATTTATTGAGTATGGTCTAATGTTGCTTGCTTGAAAGTAATCATCGATGTCAAATTGGATGTTTCAACAGAGCGATACGAAACCTTATATCCATCAATTAACACAATAATAATATAATGAAAACTTTTCATGTATCATCGATAAGAAATATTGATCAGCGAACAGCCCGGAATTAAATCTTGGACTATTCAATGTTGGAGAAATTTGTTACTTCTATCAATTGAAAAAAAATAACATTGAAAAATACTCTTAAGAAACAATTGAAATATGTAGTCGAAAAATTCGACAACATAACTTCTTTTAGAAAATTTTTTATCTTTGACTGCTCGTTTGAAACGTGTCTTGCAGAATAATTGAAGTTATTTAAATTAATATATAATATAGTATTTTGTAGAGAATTAAAAGACGAATTTTTTGAAAAAAAAATTCAAATCAATGACTATTAATAGGAATATTATTAAGACAAGAGGTCTATTTTTCCTGAAACACCTGATAATTCATTAGTATTTTTTCCAATGATTAGTACGAAGACATTTTGTTTAATACTCTTTAAAGATCTGATCTTTTTTGAAACTTCCGACAATCTGTTGAACATTTTTCAGGTCTTTATTTTTTTATTATTATTAAATCTTATTTTAAATATTTTTGTTTTTAGATTTTTTCAATAGGGAAGAACTGTTCAAATATTTTAAATATTCATTTTTTTATCACCTAGGTCAAGCAAGTATGGTTGTTTTCGATGATTTTTTTGTCGCCTTTTGGAAGACACAGTATTACGGCCATATATGGTCAGATACTTGATTTTCAGACCTTATCAACTATGTACGAAATAATAAAATAGGGTCGTAATACTACGCCTACAAAATGTCAATTTATCACCACTAACTGTATGAAATGTCAGTATACAGAACCGTTCTTTGGTCGTATCGTCAACTGTAATCATTGTCCTGGAGCAACTTAAAAGATAATTATAAATAATATGTCTGATATTATTTTTATCAATATAATTCAACATAAAACAATTGTTTCGTCAATAGATTTTCATGATTTCTACTTCTGTATGTTAATTATTCTCATCAATTTTAATCCATTTGATGATATATTACTTTAACAAAGGATTCTGGTGAGTAGACAAGATGTTTATTTTTTCAATAACACAGAAAAACAAAACTTACAATAAAATGAATATTATTTATTTTAAGTTATAATAGCGCGAAAACTATGTTAAAAATATAAAGTATCAATATCTTCGATTTCATTTGTTGACAAAAATTCTTCGATATCTATAACATTTTACAAAACAAAATTCAAAATCTCCTAATAAGAATATTAATTATTCCATATTACCTAAAATAAATACAAATAATTGTTACTATTTGACACTTAATCAAATCTATCATAATAATCAAAATTTAAAACAATCTTATATGAAGAAAAAAATTTGTAAAGATTACTATCATTTACCAGGTTATACTGGTAAAATTCCACAAGAATCTCAAATGTTTGGTTTAACTCGTAGTGAAATGAGTCGTCGTATATTTAATAATTCACATATTCATACACGTCCAGATACTTTATTTTCACCAATAATAGATTTAATTGATAATCAAATACTTGACATACGTACTAATTCATCAATTACTGATCAAATTTATATATCTGATATTATTACTTCGGGATATACTGGACATATACCAACAAAACAAGAAAAATTTGGCAAAACTATTAAGAATTTATTTTTAAATTCTATTCTTGATTTTGAAGATGATCAAACACAAAAAAAATATAATAAATTTGATTTTAAATTACAAAAACTTTTAGAAAATAATTCTATTACCAAACAAGATTTACCAAAAGATTCTATAGTAATGAAATAAAATTTTATGTTAACTCTAGTTTTTGTTTATTTGGTTTCTATTCTGCGTAGTTGCATTATACACGTGAACAAATACCTTTAAAACAAATTCGTAAATATGCTGAATTCTATCGACAGAATGAAAAAGATTGGAATCGAAGCGTATACAAAATGTGTAATAATAATTGTGAGAAACGATTTATTAGTGGTATAATTATTATTTATAATAATCAACAAATACATAGAATTATTAATTATTTAGGTTATCAAGGTCATTGTCCTCGTTTATTGAATTTTTTTGGTGAAACATATAGTGTATTGACACATAATGCACTTAATGATTTTACTGACATTTATCGACAAAAAATAATTAATCAAAATCAAAAACCAACGTCTTCTCTAATTCATTGTTAACATAAATTATAGAAATTAATATTCTTTCTCTCTCTCTCATTTACTACATATTCCTTATAAGAATACTATTCATTAAAAACAACATTATAATAACCTTTTGCGAATTTTAATTTGAATAGAATTCATTCATAAAGGATATCCAAAAAATAACTTTCTAGAAAGAGCCTGATTATCCAAATATACTACTTCCTTTTTATTAAATAGTGATTCATTAAACCAATAAATGCATATAATAAAAGATAAAACGCACATTTCATAAACAACAAACAAAAATATAACCTATTGCAAAGTCTTTGTTTTGTATTGAAGTATAGGGATGAAAATTTATACCCATTCTCCGACAGACATTGTTGATATACGATCAAAGGCCATACCACAGGTCTCAATAGACCAGGCTGGACTGAAGAAAGCCGGCCCATAGGTTATCGATCTTTGATCTGGCCTAGCCTATGGTTGTTTTTCTTTAAAAATGGCTCATCCATACACTACTCATCTAATTACATTGGATAAATTTTGAATACATGAATCAGCAAGCATATTTTGAGTACCAATTCTCTCGAATTTTCTGTTTCTTTAGTTGGAAAGTTCAAAATTTTCCAACGTTACGATATGTTTGTCTTTTCATATTTAATAGCTGCATATGTCGATGATTATTGTTTATATAGAAATTTGATCCATTCTGATGTACATTGTTTCGCATATGATAATGAATTAGCATCAATAGTCGAAGAAAAAGTGTTAACAAAAATTGATAATTGAGAAGATTCACTAGGAAAAGAATTAGAATTAAGAAAAGTAATTGTTGATGAACGAAAAGAATTAGGCAAAGGCATTTTCTTGAATATAAAGAAAACGTTTTAAGATGATGACATTCTTTATCTTATTCTTTGTTTTGATTTATATATTTGCTGTTCATTGCAAAAATGTTTAAGCCAATGGAAGAAGTACATGGAATTCTAGAAAAAAAATTTAGTGGAAACACACAACGTCTTTTTGGAAATTTTATATTTTATTCAAGGTTCGGTGAATGGGCCCCCATTCTAATATCGAATTAGCTCGGTTCAGCTCACAGTTTTCTATTCAAAAAATTTTGACCTATGGACTTGGCTGCGCCTAACCTATTGAGACCTGTGGACTGAATATCAATAACGTCTCGTTATAATATATGAACTGTTTTCTTATTGAATTTTTGAAGGATTAAGTAAAAGGATGGTGAAGAAATATGTTCTCGAATAGATCGAATAAAACAAACTTCCTGTGATTAACAAAAGTAGCTACATCATATTTCACATTTTAATCCTGCAGGGATTGCACGAACACCTTTTTTTTGAAATTTATAATAATTGTTTTAATGAGCAGTAAATAGTAAATACAAAAAAAGTTGAAATTCAGTACCAATAACACTCAAAAAAATCTAATAATGTTCATATGACTGCTCATAAAAATAACTAGTTGCCTATGTAGCATAATCTTCAATCATTTCAACATCATATTCATATTCAACTAATTTATTTTCTATTTAAAAATACTCTTCAAAACAAACGAAAGTTCAAATTTTCGCTGAAAATTATGTGAGAAACAAGTCTAATATTCATAGTATGTGTATAGACGTCTAGAAATATTTGATCATCCTTTTGATGCATCACGTTTACCTGAACTTCTTTTATGGATGACACTATATAACAATTCGCATGGCTAAACAACAAATTACGTTCTTGAAAAATCTTGTTACTAATGCCTGGTGAAGTTTTTTTTAGACATATAAATTCGACGCAACTGATGGAGGTGTGTTTTTCAGGTCAAGAGCTGAGAATATTATGTTTCTTGAACAAATATTTACCAAGTAAAAAAGAAATGAAAAGAAAGCAAACAATGTACTTAAAAGAAAAAAAACTTATCATTTATATTTGATGCTTTACGTTTTTATTTACTGCTCGACAATAAAATACTCTTTCATATGTTATATTTTGGTTTTTTTTATTTACAAAAACCAATTGATCATTCACTGAATGTATGGATGTAAATAATTCTGCATCTTGCGTTTTGCTGCAATGTTGAAAATAGAATAGTGTCGGAAAGCTGTGTTCATGCATAGAACGTATGATCAAGAAAGGGAATCACGCATTCATTCTGTCGTTGTTTATATTCTTACAAAGAGAACGACGATGAAGCAAAAAAGGCTTGAGCTTTCGCCCTCATATTGTCACGCGAAACTCCACTACATCATATGATGAATGTAGAGCAACATGTAACGATTTCATAATGAAGTCAGGCAGCGAGTGCATGCTTCTCTCTACAAATACATATATTAGCTGACAGGCAGCAAGCACGAAGTGATCAGCCACTTGAGCACCGGTGAAAAAAATTTTATTTTTCAATACATGTGTGGCTTACACGCCTTCGTTTTTTTCAAGTCACATGTACACTCCTCCTTCTTATCGCAACCGTCAAAATGGTATATAAGCAGTCGAGACTATTTTTGTTTGATTACAAAAAATAAAAAGACCAGAATCTCAACCAACAACTTATTTACATAGAAATCAATCATAAAGCCAAAGAATCTTCCATGAAATCGGTAACTTATATTATTCATATAGAAAATAATTATTCGTAGCCTTTTTTTTTTTTTTTTTGAATAGTGTAACTTTGCTTGTCTTTTTGATATTGATGGTGTCATTACAAAAGGCCCAAATTTTATAACGGTTGCAAAACCAGCTATTCACAAATTGATTCAATTGAATATACCTGTTATTTTTGTTTCAAATACATGTGCAGTGGAATCGGAGAAAGCCAAACAATTATCAGCCATGCTTGGAATTACTGTAAGTTTAATTTATTATACTATAATTTTTTTTTTCAAAATATTTATTTGAAATATAGATTAATCCGGAACAAGTTGTTCTGGCTCAATCACCAATGCGTACTTTAACTCAATATCATAACAAACATGTTTTGATATCTGGACAAGGTCCTACAGAAGAAATTGGTGAAATGTATGTTATTTATTATTTTTAAAAATTTTGTATCTATGTTTTCTTTTTTTGTTATCAAGGCTTGGCTTTAAAAGTATAACAACAGTTGAAAAAGTTTGTGATGCATTTCCAGAATTAGATATGGTCAATCATATGAATCGCGCTAAATTTGTAAGTCAAAATAAATAAATTTTTTATTTGTTATTTTATTTTCTTCATTGTTGTTATCTTTTAGAGTGAAATGATAAAAACACAAAGTCTTGTTCGTGATACAAGTTTTCGTCCAATTGATGGTAAACATTCTTTAATAATAATTTTTATATTCTAATTAGTCATTTTTTTTTGTATAATACAGCTATTGTTTTGCTTGGTGAACCTATCAGTTGGGAAAGTTCATTACAAGTTATTACTGATCTTCTTTTAACTGATGGTAATCCAGCTGTGGTCCCTATTGATCCAACAATTGATCGTACTCATATTCCGGTTATTGCTTGTAATAGAGATTTAGTTTTCAAAGCTGCTGCTGATTTACCACGTTTTGGTCATGGAGCTTTTCTTACATGTTTAGAAGCATTGTATAAAGTAAGTTAAATAATTATAACAAATAAATTCATCAAAATTCTATTTGTCTTATTTCTTTTTCAAAATAGAATCTTAGTGGATATGATCTGATATATAAAGCATTTGTTGGTAAGCCATTTGAAATCTCATTTCAATATGCTGAAATCATGGCTAATAAATTTGCTCTTGCGAATGGACAATCAAAAATTGAAAAAATTTATTTTGTTGGGTAAAATTTTTTCTTTTAATTACAATTTAAGTTTTTTTTTTTTTAAATCTTAATTCTTATTCTTTTTTAGTGATAATCCTGATGTAGATATTGTCGGTGCAAACATGTATAATTCTTTATTACAGCAAGATATCAATGCTAGAAAAAGTATTAGTGGTTATGATTTACTTACGGATCCAACATATTTAACTGCAACATCTTGTGAATCAATTTTAGTATGTACAGGTGTTTATGATCCAAATAAACAAACAGGTGAAGAAAAAGTACATTGGAAAATACCGTCAACAACTCAACTTGATGTATTAGAAGCTGTCAAATATGTTCTTAAAAAGGAAGGAATTTCATGGAATTCATAAATTTTTAGGACACTCTTGATAGAAAAAAAAACAACGTATTTGGCTTTATCTTGAAGGCTTTATTTTTTTTTGTTTTTTTTTGTTGAGTGTCAGATATGTTGTTTTTTTCGTTTTTGATCAAAATTTGTAGACACGTACACACATGTGTGATATAATATTATTTTATGTTTAATTAATAAAAGTCTCTCTCATACTTGTTATTATAAACATGAAAAAGTAATAACTATTTATGACATATAGAGATAATGGCAAGTAGTCGACAAAAAAAAAAGAAAGATATCAAAATGTAACTAAATAAGAAAAGGGCTATATTGTCATAATGTCAATCTTGTAGATGCTTATTAATAACATAATAGAAATATAAAATATTAGTTGTCTTTTTATGATTCGACAGAAATAGATACTCAATCTTTCTTAATTAATGCATATTTAAACGAAAAAAATTTACAAGTATCAATGATATTTATTTGTCATTTATGTGTCTTTTTTTTACATCTTATCATGGATTTTATTTTGATACAAATGAAGAAATTTATATCTTTATTAGTTGCCTTTTTGAAAATTATTTGATAAATAAAAATCAGAATTGCAGGAAATATTCTATCATTTGGTTTTTCTTTTTTTTTTAATGAATTATGGATGTTTGTATAGAAGTTTCATTAGAATCGAATATATCGATTGTACATTGTAGATATTCATTTCGAAGATGGAAACAAACGCGGTCCCTTAGCTCAGCCGGTTAGAGCGCCGTGCTAATAACGCGGAGGTCATGAGTTCGATCCTCATAGGGACCATTTCTGTTTTTTTTTTCTTCTGTTTTACTGTTGTAGATTACAGATGGTTATTTTAAGTTGATTTTTTTCCCATTCTCTGATCATATGATTTGATGATGATTCATATGACATCATGTTGGAAAAAATATGTCTTCATAATTAGAACAAAAAGGTTTTAATCAAAATTATGAAGAAAAAAAATTAGATGTTTAAATTCTCTTGAATGTATTTAAGCGAATTCAACGCTATTGTTTAAAGTCTTTTTCAGTTAAAACCTATTTCAAAATGAAGTAACTTTATTATTTCAGTAGATATTAGAATTTTAAATATTATGGTAATTCTAAAAAGAAATATTAAATTATAGGAATGAGAATAAAAATACAAGAATAATCATTTTTTTTGACAAAATTTCTACATCTATTGAAAAAATAATTATATTAATAATAGCCATGAATGATTTTAATTAAAATGGATTATGTATTTCACTAATAAGAAAAAAAAATCATATGCCATTGATATACGGACTCATGTTATAGCGCAAAAGGATGTGATGACAGATATTGCGAATACTAGGAATTAGAAAACCCAGGTTTTAGAGCGAAATTATGCAGATAAATATTCTTCTTTAACAACTTATATTTCAGTTAAATGTATACTGTAATTAAGATAACACTTTATGCAAAGTTATGTCATTGTACATCTTCTATAAAATTTCTTCAATTAAATAAGTAGAAAACTAGGAAAAGTCACACGAAATTTTCAATACGACGAAGACTAAGATATTATACATAATAGTCCAAAAGTTATCAGACAGTCTTTGATTATGAATAACGTTTGATGGAAAATTTTGCCTTTCACCATTCGAAAGAAGCTGTGTTGCTGTGTTACTGTATGTATTATTCAACAATGTTTGTTGATGACCCAATGGTCATTTGATGGTCGTCGGAAAAACGCATACAATTCTATGAAGATAATAAAAAAATTTAATTATAAAAAATGTGTTAAAACTACATGTTTACCATTCACATCCACACTAATACAGGCTAGTGTTCTACCTAGAAATATTAAACGGAACAAGATGAAATATTACATGATATCGTGGGTGTAAATCGTGATTATTTGGTTTTAACACATTTTTTACAATTTAACTTTTTTTGTTATCTTCATAAAGTTGTAAATGTTTTTCAGAAGACCATCAATTGACCATTGGATCATCGACAAACATTGTTGAATAATATATACAACAACGCAGAAACACATCTCCTTTCGAATGATGAAAGCCGAAACTTTCCATCTTATTCCCATCAAAAGTTATTCATAATCAATGACTGCCGGGTAACTTTTGGATCACACTGTATGGTCAGTGTAATATCCACGGCAAAATCATAAACGCCAAATATATCTCATTAATCCATTGAAGCCTTTTGTATTTATCAGAGACCAAATCGCATCAAGTTTTACTGGCTCGAGTTCGGTTTGGTTCGTCTTTGTTGCCTAAAAACCAGCTCGGATTCGATTCAGTTCGTGTTTGATCTCTGGTATTTATCAATTGAATCACTCACTATTGACAATGCAATTGTACAATCCATCTAGTCATATCAAAAAATATAAATAAAATTATTAGATATAATTTGAATCGAAATAGTTTTGTTGATTCATTTTTAGAGTTCAAACTTCTATTGTCTAGAAATTCCAATATCATTCCTTAGCAAGGAGGAAGTAGCTGATTTTTCTAAATTTTTTTATCAATTTTAATTTAAAAAAATATTTTATTCATAAAGATCTGATTTTGAACGTCTTGCGCCTTGATTTTAAGTATGTTCTTATAATTTAAGTCTCTAGGTACAATTTGATTGTTAAAAAAAGATGATTCATACATTTAGAGAATGAGATCTACCATAATAATTACAAAAAAAAATGATGTTTTCGATTTTTCTGAAGCTTTTAATTACACTCATTTTTTTGATTTAAAGTTGACAAAAAATTAAAAAAATTAATTTAATTAGTTTAATCAAAAAAATCTGATTTCATCTATTTCTCCCTTACTTCTTCATTAATCTTTGACGAAATCAGAAAGACGATTTCACGATGAATAAAACAAAAATGTTCGATATTTTTGTTATATTTTTTTGTTTTCTAGATCATTTTTCTAAAACTCCAAAAGTTATTTAAGTATTTTGTATAGTTTTATATTTCATATTGAAGAGTAGTTAACCTAGAATGTCTCTAATTACATATGCATGTTTTACAATATCAGTTTTCTCAATATAGATATTTTTGAAGTATTACAATAGTTGGAATCTTCATGTTACAAAGATGATCATGTGAAGAAAGAATAAGTGTACTCGTTGATTTAGAAGTAAATACCAGTACGACAGTCATTTACATTTGCACTGTAATAGAATAAATAATCAGAAATTAATTTCGTATTGACAATGTTAAAACAATCGTTTGTGATGACAATGAAATTCATATATAGAGTTATGCAATTACAATTTGAATGAATATTTTCATTATAAGATTTTAATCGTACAAGTTTCTTTTTTCTATAAAACATCTGAATAATATTCATTAATTGAAAACAATCGATTTTGACAAGAATAATTACTTTAAATATTCATGTAAAATTTTTTAACAAGAATAATTAAAATTTTTGTGTTTATTTAAATATTATTAATTCCTTTATTTTTATCAAAAATAAAAACAAATCGATACAAAACAAAAAGAAAAATTAAATTGCTGGAATAAATTAATTCTTCATATTAAGCTTGATTAGAAAAAGTCAAAAATTCTTACACAATGGCAATATTGGATATGTAAAGATACATTTCTCATTCCATCAATTATCTATTTCTTCTTATCTTTGTTCTTGTCATCTGTTGATTTATCTCGTAAACCAGATTTTTGTCTATCATCTCTGAAAAAAAAAGTAAATATCAAAAAATAAAAAATTCCTCTTATTTTTCTACATACTTAACATTATGTTCAGCTAATTCATCTGACATATTAAAATTTTTAAATAGTTCTGATTGTTCAAAAAAATCATCTTGAGGTTCATAACCTAATAATTGTCGTGTTGATTCAATATCCATACGATTAAATGTATTACGCGATAAACCATGTACAAGAGCAAATTTTAAATCTTCTGGTGCATCAATACATCGTTCAAGTAATTGTAAACAATCTCTTTGGGATAACCAGGCATCCATCATACTTATTGAATCTTTATTTTGTGCAGTTGAATGTGATTGAAATGCTCCAATACGAACAGCTATTGATGGTACACCTTCTTTTTCACCCATATAACGACAAAGTGCTTCACCAAAACATTTTGTAACACCTATTTTAACATAAAAGTAATAAAAAACTAGTATTATTTCATTTGTTAAATACCATAAAGATCTCCTGGATTTGGTGGTTCAGTTGTTTTTGCTTGTACACCTTTTGGATAACCTGTTATAGCATGAATTGAACTCGCATAGATCATTCTCTTAACACCAGCATTTTTTGCTGCAATAAATATATTATATAAACTAAAAAACATCATAAAATTATATATTTTCTAAATGGTTCGTTTTTACCCATCAATATTAGCCTCTTTTAATGTATCCCATGTTGAATCTGGACTTGCATCTCCAGCTAGATGAACTATAGTATGAACATTTTTACAAGCTTTATCTAATGTTTCCATTTGATTTAAATTGCCTTGAATGATTTCACCAAATGATTTTATTGGATCGATTTTTTCTGGTTCCATTGAATGCACCTTAATAAAAAATAAAGACGAATACATCAAAATCAAATCAATCGAAATAAAAACCATTAAACGAAGTTGATATTTTTGTTTATTAGCATGTTCAGCAAAATATTTACCAATATGTCCACCAGCACCAGTAACAAGAACAAGCTTGGATGAATTCGATGTTGACATTTTTAATTAAAAAACACAAAATCTAAAATAAACATAGATTTTCTCCTCTTACAAAAAATATCTTTTTACATTAACTAATTAAGAAAATATTTGCTTTGGCATAATGCTCTTCATTGCTTTTATTATCAAAAATTAAAAAAATAGCTTTATTTCTTTTTTTTGTTTTTGTTTTAATGATTATTATTATTATTATCAACTATTTTGTTTTTGATGTTTTTTTCCAATATAACAATTCAATTGAAATCTATCTTTTCCTTTAACATGAACTTATTGACCTAAAAGAAAACTTAGATTTTTTGTTTCTTTTTGATATATTTCTTCATTGAATACAAAGATTATTTCCCATTTTATTTCGCCCATTTTTATTCTTATATAAACCCAAAAAACAAAACACATCGCTTTTAGTATTACATTTTCGTATAGAATATATATATATATATATATATATGTGTGTGTGTATGTGTATGTGTGCACAAGCAAGCAAGTAAGCAAGCAAGCAAGCAAGCAAGCAATTTCGCTGTCGTCGTGTCTTAATAATTGTTCTTCTCTTTACCAACCATTGCCCCTTATTTTTTCTTCCTTACATACACTATTGTATGCAGCGCATCATAAAGGGCCTCTGTTGTGCTTGTTGCACTGTTGCTTGCGAGCGTGCGCGCGTTTTCTCTACACATCGTGCTGCTGCTGCAATCACTATTCGCCATCACATACACAGCAGACGGAGACGAACATACACACACACATACAAAGTAAAGCAAAGCTCCTTGCACACATGCACGACCGCTATAGCGTGTGCGCTTCATGTTTGAAAAAAAGAAGCGAGACGAGAAAGCAGAGACACACACACACACATATATACACGTTATATGCGTGCGTTTTCTTTCGCTGTCGATTCTTCCTTTTAGCTAGGCAGCAGAGAGAAACGACACACTACTGACTGACTGGGTCACATTTCTCTCTTTGTCTAACTCGTTGTTCATTGATTCATTTGGCAGTCTTTATCTAGAGAAGTGAAGGAGAGAGAGAGAGAGGGAGGGAGAGAGACAGAGTAACGATCGTATTTATTCGATAGTTTGTATTCAGTTCTTTAGTTTGTTGATGATATTTCTTTTTTTTTGAATTTGAATATGTATATATATATATGTATTCTTATTTTTAGATTCATATATTTTTTGTTTGATTATCATTATTAAAAAAAGACAACAATAATGCCTCGCGGTTCTGGAGCATCAAGAAAAGCAACCAAAGATCCAAATGCACCAAAACGACCATTATCTGCATTTTTTCTTTTTTCGCAAGATGAACGTCCAGATATAAAGAAAAAAAGTCCATCGCTGTCTGTTGGTGATATTTCAAAAGAAATTGGTTTAAGATGGAAAAAAGTTAGGTAAGATGAAACAACAGAAAAAAAAATTATTTATAAAATAATTCTTTTTTTTTTCTTGTTATCTAGTGATGATGTAAAAAAACGTTATGAACAAAAGGCTGCTGTTGAAAAACAAAAATATGAAACACGTCTTGCTGAATATAAAAAGAGCGGTGGTGGTGGTGGTGGTGGTGATATTAGTTCAGCTAAAGGAAGTAAAGGTCCATCAAAAGCATCAACAAGCACAAAATCAGCTAAGAAACCTGCAGGAAAAAAATCTGCAACTAAAGCAAAATCATCTGATGAAGATAATGATGATGATGATGAAGACGATGATGATGATGAAGATGAAGAATAAAATAACAATTAATAAAATATAAAAGAAAAAAGAAAAGATCTCTGATCGTCCCTTATATCCTTCTTTTTTTTTTTACTGTCGAGTTCAGAATTTTCTTTTTTTTCTGTGTACTACTTGTTATATTGTTGTAGAATGACATTCTTGTTTTGTATGTGAAAAAAAGAAAAGATGTATGAAAACACAAAAAAAACTCGCGCTTGTTTCTATTTTTTTTGTATACAACTATTTCTTTCTATCTTTTTCTGCTTCTCTGTGTACTACTATTACTATTACTATATTATATTTGTTCTTCATTATTCTTCTTGTTGTTGTTTTCATTGGCTATGAAATAAAATAGAAAAAAAAACCAGGATAATGGACGTATTTAAAAGATTTTCTTTTATAAAAATCGTAATTATGCGTGACAGAAGGTAGCTTAATATCTATGTAGAAAAATAAATGATGAATTTCACTTGAGAAGGATAATTCAAAAGAGAAAAATATTTCTAACTTTTTCTTTTTGCTAACATTCTTTCACCTATATTCATTCCTTAATTACAATGTCTGGTATTCTTATCTTTTTATTTCTTCTTGTTTATACATCTTCGTTAACAAAATCCAAAACTCCAACAATACATCATTGTCAAGTTGAATCTTACACAGAAACAATAAATCTTCAAAATTGTTTAAATACTCCATTAACAATTGAAACAACACGTTGTCGTGGTCAATGTTATTCAGAAGATTTTCTCGTTTATGATTGGCAATATGCACCGACACATTATCGACATAAACATCATCGTCAGTGTTGTTCACCAAAACATACTAAACCACATGAAATTCAAATAATATGTGAAAATAAAAATCCACGAACAATTCAATATCGGATTGTTACACAATGTGAATGTAAATTATGTAATGACAGATGTATGGAATAAAAATATTGTCAGACAAAAAAATTAAAAGAATAATAAATAAATACAAATGAGGATGTTTTTCTGTCTCTTTTTTAAAGAGAAAAAAAAATAAGAAAAGAATAACAAATACAAATGTTGCTGTTTTTTTTGTATAATACAAAGTATCAAACAAAAGAAAAGACTAACAATACATGCACACATATACGAGTTCCATTTTTTTTCTCCTGAAAGATATAATATCAACAACATCAATAACAAACAAAAAAAAGAAAAGAAAGGTGAAAATCCTAATATTATTTCTCACATACAGATATATATATATATATATATATTTTTGTTTTCCTAAAGAAAAATTCTATTAATAAACAGACAGACAATATAAAATAAATAGCTATGATAATCACAGAATAGAATTTGTTTTTCTTTTTCAAACAGATATTTCATAATGTTTATTTCCATTTAATTTTCGTCGATTTTGTTGGTCATTATTTTGTATTGATTGAGATAATAATGGTCGTTTTGGATAATCAAAAGCAAATGAATGTAAAGGATGTGCTTGTCGATATGAATCAGTACGTAATGTTATAGCACTATTTGTTGATACATTATCAGATTGAACAGAATTATGATTCATATATATTTTTTTCAGTTGTTTTGAACTATTATTATTATTAGTAGTAGTAGTACTTGTTTGATAAGGTAAGGGTTGATGTATATCAACTTCATTTTCTTCAATATTATCATATGAACAACGTGAAGATAAAGACATATTTGATAAACTACGACGTATTGATTCAAATCCGGGTTTTGTTGTTTGATGTATGAGATTTTTTTTAACTGGTTGAAATGGAAGTGAAGATGTAACTGAAGTAGATGTTGAAGATGATATTGACTTTAAATAAAAATAAATAAATAAAAAAAAAAAGATGAATCAAAAAATATTTAGGAAAATAAGATGATTTGAAAGAAAAATTTAACAACAACGTATTTTTGATTTTTTTCTTTCTATAATATCAAATAATTAGGTCAAATTCAGATAGTAATTTTTCTATGAACTATGATGACAAAGTTTCTAAAAAAACCGGATACAGTCCTAGAAGACTCTGTCAAAGATAATTATTAATAATGCCATTTTAAAAAGCACAAAAATATGATGACCCATCATTTTGTTCTCTTTGTTAAAAAATATTGCCGACAAAATCTTCTGAAATTGTGTCTGCTTTTTTTTTGGAAACCTTGATAAAAGAAAACTCCATTGATTATTAAAATGACTATCTGTTTTTGAGTTAATTGCTTAAAATTATAGGAAAAAAAATGTTATTGTTAAACTTTTTTTCCATCACTTAATATATATATATAGTTATTTACTTGTTGTTGAGCAAGAGGAATTGAATTATTATATTGACGAACTAGAAAATAAAATTCTTTAATGATTATTTGTTTCATAATGATATGCAATTCGTTATTCTTCAAATAACTCGAAAGTAAAAGCAACGTTGACCTTGTATTTAGTTTTCAGCAATTAGAAAAACACAACAGTAACCATGCAACATATGTTAGTTGCAATGTTCAAGAAATTCACACTCCTGGGCAAAAATCTTTCTCCTCTCCCCAATCATTCTTTTCGTATAGAACTTCTTTGATCTCATGTGAATGCTAGTTACAAGGATGACTTAAGTACTTTATTGTAATGTGGTGTATGATTGATGATAATTTGCTTCCATGAAGAATATACATCTTTCAAAATAATTGAGCAATACTACAAATGACTTAGTTGACAAACTGTTTCAGAATTGGATTATCTTTTTTTTTGGTATCTACTAGTTGTTTTACTGGTTTCAATCATTAGACTCTTTTCGTCACCGAATCGAAGCTCTCGCGAGAACGTGATATTATCAATTACTCCAAATACAGATAAGGTAAAGCTAGTAAAACATTCATAAAATATCAAAAAAAGAGATAATCTAGCCATGAAGTATTCTATCAACCAACTCATTTGTAGTGTTGACCGATTATATTGAATGACGTACATTCGTCATGAAAGCAGGTCGTAATCAATCATAAACTACACTAGCATAGTATTTAAGTCGGATTTCTTTTCCTCTAACTCATATCGTTAATTAGTACGAATTCATTTTATAATGGTTAAACATCATTGGAATAATTTCATCATACTGCTTGAACGATACAAACTAACAATATAAGCCTTTGAAAATAGTAACCCTTTGACGATGAGAAACATATATAAATATACGTTTTGAGCTGCTGCGCAGATTCTAACATGTACGATTATCTGTCTTCGTTAG